AAAAACCAGAGGTGGTAGCTTGCTGAGGAATTGCAGGATAGCTCGTCTGGCTAGAGCATGAAGTACAGAGAAACAGAGGTGAGAGGTGAATAGAAGCAAGAGGGCCAGGGTGAAGTCTTGAAAAGCTTTCAATGTTCCTCTTTAGAGTTTGTATATAGTCTTGAAACAGTGGGAAACCATTGGAAGATTTTAACCTACATAAATTAGAGTTCTATATACTAATCATTAAATTAATAATTTTGTTTGATTAACGATATTTACATCATAAATTTATCATTTTCTCTTCTAACCCAGTATTTTATCTTTTTGGTTTTTTTCAACAATATGATAATCAACTGTTAAGTTAGATAAAGAGACAAGATTTTTCAAATTTGCTAATAGTGATTAATCTTAGGAAAAATGATGTATCCTGATGTCATTCTTAAAAAAGATGTTATTGTTAGGTGCTTTTGTATTGATCCCAACTCACAGCCAACCTGTGTGCAATTGGTTGAAACTTTGCCCAGTCCTGCACCATCCTTATAATCTCAGCTGTACTCAAACCCAATTCTAGAGGTGGAATTGGTCCACCTCTTTGAGAGACCTTCCTACCCTTCATTGACCAGCTACTTTTCCAAGGATGGTATCCTTCCCCAACTACTCGCCCCCCCTGGTAACATGCCCAAAGTGTGTGAGATAAAGTCTCACCACCTTGCCTCTCAGGAGCACTCTCACTAAACTTCTAAGAAAGGTTTGTTTATTATTTGTCAATTCATGATATTTTTTTTTAAATGAGGAAGTAATTAAAATAGGCCCTCAACAATAGTTCTCAAGCTTATTTGACTACAACACTTTCTGAAAAGTATGATGTATTGACAGACTACTAATAGGAACTTAACAGATACTCTACATACTTGCATCAGAGTATACATATAGACCCTAAAATTTAATTCAAACAAAGAAAAACCAAAAGAAGAGAAAAAAAAATTAACTCATAAAATAGAAGAAAAATGGAATTATGTTTTATAAAAATATCACAAGTGTAGGTTTAAATAATAAGACAGAAATGGTTGACAGTCATGTATTACATGATCATACTGTGACCACATAGATTGTATACATTCCTGCAACACTGAGCTCCGGAATGAGTAGGTAGACTATAGGTCATGTACTGTCTTATTAATTAGACTGTACAGTTTTTTGAGGCTTGGCATGTCATTTTCAAATGGTAGACTATTAAGAATAACTAGAGTAAATATGTAAGTAAATATCTCAGTTTTCTAGTGCTGCTATGACAGAAATAAGTGACTTCAAAGAACAGAAATTTATTTTCTCAAAGTTCTAGAGGCTGAAAGTCCAAATTGGGGTCCGAGCTTCATTTATAGCTTTCTTCTCAGTAGCCCCAAATGTCCTTTGGTTTATAGATAATCCTCATAAGACATCTGTCTTTGTGCAGGAGTCTATTATGGAATCTGTTCTTTTTATAATTAAGAAATTACTCGATTTAGAACCCAGGTTACTTGAGTATGATCTGGTTAGCATAACAAAGAAAACCTTATTTCCAAACAAGTATTTATCTATAAGATAGGGGATAAGAATCCAGCACCTATTTTGAGGACTCACATTTTAATCCAAAACATTGTTTTTCTCAAATACCATGAAATTTTTTTAAGAGAAAAATACACCACCAGCCCCCCACATCGAAATTGCCCCATCTATCCTAGGAGCTTAGTTTGGGAAATAATTACCTGGAAAATGTTGCTCGGATTGCCCTTAAATCTAATTTCATGTTTCCTTCTTTATTGTCTTCATGCTGATTTGAAACTGAACTCTGAGCTAAACTGGAGGATCAGAACATTTTAATTACAGTCTAAAATGGAATTAGTGCAACTGAATTACAAATCAGAGAGTGGGTGGGAAAGAAAGGCAATAAAGATGATATATATTCTTCAGGCATATACTCGGGTTTATAAACCCACGGCTGCCTTAAAATTCATAAGATGTTTCAAAACCTTTGTTTTCCTTTTGGCTGTTTGCCTAGCTTTTGTTAACCAGTACCTCAAGTATTATTTGCACTTTGGCTTGTTACGAAAGGACATTAATTCTAGGGCAAACTTGCTGAAATGGACTACTTTATCAATGTATTGCTCCTCTCTTTCTCCCCTTGTGAATGGCATTTTTCTTTTAATGAAATGCTTGTGCAAAATCTCATGTGCTCTTGCCTGACTGCAGTGAAGTCATCTGGTTGGGCATGTGCAATGATGTCATAATTGGCATTGAGTTTACCTTGAAGGTTCAAGGCAACCAAATTAGAGGTGAGAGAAGAATGTCCTGGTTTGGCTGCAGCTACTAATTAGAAAGAATTGAAGTGCTTTTTATGATGATACAAAACTTTTCAGATAATTGATTTTATATTGATATATGAGATCATATACCAGGGACCAGGATGTTATTTTTAGGATTTGTTTTATTCCATGTCAGAACTTTTGTAATGAAATGAGAATAGTTGAAAAACCAACTGACTTTAGTAAAATTCATATGTAGTCAGCCAACAACTCCATTGCAGATTTATTATATGAAACTGAGGAGGACCTGAAGCATTTGCTGCAGAAGGTTAAGGACTGAAGCCTTCAATACGGATTGAAGCTCAACATCAAGAAAACAAAGATTCTCACCACTGGGCCAATTGGCAGCATCAGTATGGATAATGAAGAGATTGAGATAGTTAACAGTTTTAGTTTGCTTGGCTCCATAGTCAATACTCTTGGTACCAGCAGCCAGGAAATCAAGAGACGAATTGCGTTGTGAAAGTCAGTTGTCAGGGACCTCTTCAGAATACTGAAGAGCAACAATGTCAGGCTGGAGACTAAGGTTCACCTGATCCAGGCTGTAGTCTTTGCAATTACGTGCAATGCATCGGAGATCTAGATAGTGACTAGGGATGATAAAAAGAGAATTGGTGCCTTTGAACTGTGGTACTGAAGAAAGTGTTGAATATACCATGGACTGCCAAGAGAACAAATAGGTTTGTCCGGAGTGGGTGAAGCCAGGGTTCTCCTTGGAGTCAGGAATTCCGAAGCTTCATCTGACATACTTTAGACATGTTGCAAGGAGGGACCAGTCTTTGGAGAGGGACATCATGTTTGGGAAAGAGGAGGGACAGTGCAAAAGAGAAACATCCTCAATGAAATGGATTGATTCAGTGATTGGGGTAGCGGGAGTAGGTGTGTTTGAGACATGAGGTTGGCACAGGATAGAGCAGGATTTAGGGCTCTTGTACATAGGGTCACTATGAGTTGCAAGCAACTCGACGGCACATAACAACAACAGCATGGACATCAAACCCCATGTCTTCTGTTTTAAAGAATATTCCATTAAAGTCCACCTATTGGTATATTTTAAGTGTGGAGGAAGATACAAGAGTCTCAGTTGTCTAGTGCTGCTAGAACAGAAATATGGATGTCTTTAACAAACAGTAATTTATTTTGTCATATTGCAGAAGGCTGGAAGTCCCAATCCAGTGTGCTAATTCTAGAGAGAGTTTTTTCTCTCTCTGCCGACTCTGAAGGAAGGTCTCTTCTAATCCTTTGCTGCAGGGCAAACTTCATATAATTTGGGATCTCTAATTCTTCATCACTAATTCTTTCTCTCACTTGCTTCTTTAATCTCTTTTTTTCTCAAAAGACATTGACTCAAATCTTGCCTCATAACCATAAGAAGATAAAGGTAAATAACCCAGTTGAAAAATGGGCACAGGATATGAACAAACACATCACCAAAGAAGACATTCAATAGCCAACAAATACAGGAAGAAATGTTCAAAATCCCTAGCTCTAAGAGAGATGCAAATCAAAACAACTATGAGATATCATCTCACCCCAGTAACAATAGCAAAATTTAACAGAGCAGCAAACAACAAATTCTGGCAAGGTTGCGGAAAAACTGGAACCCTTATTCACTGTTGGTGGGAGTGTAAAATGGTGCAACCACTATGGAAAACTGTATGGCACTTTCTCAAAAAGTTGCAAATAGAGATGCCATTTGACCCAGCAGTTCCAATACTGGGTATATACCCCAAAGAAACCATAACTGCCACCCAGGAAGATATATTCACACCCATGTTTATTGCAGCTTTGTTCACAATCGCAGATAGTTGGAAACAACCTAAGTGCCCATCAACAAACAAATAGATAGGGAAGCTCTGGTATATTTACACAATGGAATACTACGCTGCATTGAAAAACAAGGAACTCATGCAATATTATTCAAAATGGGTGACCCTGGAGGACATTACTCTGAGTGAAGTATCTCAGTCACAAAAGGACAGGTGCTACATAATGTCACTATTGTAGAACAGGACTGGCAATCAGGGTTGGAGTGAGACTGAGAAAAATTGGATAAATTATGTATACTGCATTGAAACATATGAGGGAGAGAACTGTTTGAAAGCAATATATGATTGGGTATTATGGTTATGACAAGAGTCCAGAATTTGCCTCATTAGCATAACAAAGACAACCTTTTCCTAGATGGTATTATAACGATGGGCATAGAGGTTAGGATTTACAACACATATTTTTGAGGTAAATGATTCTGTTCATAACAATCTAATTCATTCCATAATAAGGAAGTAATTTACGTAAATTGGTTTCTGAGGGGAAATGCATACCTACATGTAAAATTTGCCATCTTGTTAAATGCTCGTGTTTTAAAACTGGGATTAAAGGAGAAACTCTCATTTAAGAAAATATCTGAGGTTGGTTTTAAATAAATTTGTGTTCTAGCTATCATAAAGTCTTCTGTACTGGTAAGCTCGTTTCACTAGAATACATTTGGTTGGGAAATAAGGAATGTGAGTGGAGGGAGGTAAGAGTAGTTCCTATATTTAAAGACTTTATATTGCCTCAAAGTAAATTATGGTGAGCTTTTCTCTCTCTGATAGAGAGCTTTTCTTTTACTTTGTATTTGGAGAGAGGAAAGATAGGGTTTAGATGTTCTTTTATATAAAGGGAGATGATGCACACTTTTGGCAGTTGAGTGCAGTCTGTTTCTCATGTTGCTCTGTAATTGAGAGACGTGTTAATATCCTCATTAAAGACATTTTGCTGCCTCTTGTTTAAATGCTCAGCTGTTCTACTGCCCGTTATTTCCCCCAGGCAGCCAGAGATGACTGGAGTCAGCAGGTTTTTATGGCATTACCAGCAGTTTGCTCTTTTATTTTTAATGTGATTCTTAATCCCACCCCTTTTTTTTTTTGCTAGGTTTCTGCAACTGAGAATAGCCTGGCATTCCATTCCTCCTCTGCTGAAGATGACTCTCGTAAGCATTTGGTCTTAGAGCTTGGAGGTTAAGGTCCATTCTGTCTTTGGTTCAGGAATGTCCCATTACTGTCTCAGCGCTGAGAAAAGTAGCCTATTAAATCCAAAAATTTAGCTCATCGAATCCTTTTCAGTTTTAAGGACTGATGCCTGAATGCCCTTCACACATTTCATTGCTTAAGGAGAAATTAAGTTCAGTTAAATATGATTGAGTTGGGGCAAAATTAATATTTATGAGTTTGGTGTTTGGGGTTTTTTACTTGGATTAAATAGTCTTTATTGTAGAACAGGGTTTCTCAAGCACAGCATAATTGCCATTTGGGGCTGGGTAAATTTTGGTTCCCCTGATGATGGAGATAGTGCAGGTGATGTTTCTCTCATTACATTTATCTTATCTTTTTTATCAAACCCTTTCAGGATTAAAACTGTCTAAACTAATTTTGAAGTTTAGTTGTAATAGATGTTTGGTCAAGAAGGGTTTTATTCATTTGCAGAGATAAGAGTTGGAATTTGAGTAACCTTCTAGAAATATCGTTTTTATATTAATCTAAATATGTAGTCTACTTTCCAGCTATTTTTCCTGTTGAAAGAATACTGTGTTGGTTTATCACATTAGAATCCAATTTTTGAATCATTCTGAGCGTCATTTCTATCATATACAAAAACTTCGTGTATTTATTTTACTATGTCCTCATTTGATTCTGATTTTCCATATAGTGCTTAGAGATGCATTTGTGATCTTTAGCTTCTCATCAGGCTAATTGGTTTACTAGACACACCACAATAATTAGAATAGAAATCTGAGCTAAGAAAGAGGACTCTAGTAAGCCCTACCTTAAAACTGTAGAGAAAAACCTGCCTGCCTGAATCCAAGAACATTCCTTTTGCATTCATTTTTCTTGGACGGAAAACATTTTCTGAGTTGTTTTTTTTTTTATTTTTATTTTCTGAGTTTTTACTAGGTTGTCAAAGCTTTAGTTCTTTGTTGCCTCACCTCTAGATTTTGAAGAAATTTTGTGGTTCCTCCATAGCTGAGTAAATTACTTCCCTCACCTTACCCCTTCTTTGATTATGAGAAGAAATCTAATAGCATTCTTTTCCATAAACTTTTTTTTAATTATTTTAATTTCATTTGTGTGTGTGTGCGCGCATGTGTGTGTATGTGTGTATGTACCGTCAAATCAGATCTGACTGGTACAGGAGGACATTGTCCCTCCTTCTCCTTCGAACCTCACACCTCTGGGATTGCAGTGCAGCTTCTGCCACTAGGCCAGCAGAGCTTGTCTCTTTTCTGTAATCTTTATCTACTAATACCCAGAAAAAGCTTATTAGAAAGAAAACAACATCAAAGTACACACAAGCAAAGTATGATATTTCTACCCTCATGTGTCCCTACTTCCCCAAAGCTTCTGGGGTCCTACTGTACCTCAGAAGGAGTGATAGGGAGTACTAGCTACCAAAAAAGATGTTTATGTCTACAAAACAGGCTTTTAAAAATGGCAGTAACTATAGAGAAGATTCTTTATGCAGGATAGTTTGGTTCCATGCTGTGTATGGGAAAGGGTTAGTGATAAAGGCTCCTCTCTGAGAACTTACATTTGAGAGGATTTGAGAGAATGTAAGGAGTACAGCTTTTACAGCAGAAAAGCAGTGATTTTTGATGTTGAAAAGATGTGTCTTTAGTGGAGTTTGCTTTTGAGAGAACGTCTGAGACTTCGCATGAGGAATATAACATATTTTCCTTTTGTAACTAAACTAGATGTCTCCCAGGTGAAGAGTGAGCTTCAGCAATCTGACCATCCCAAGCAGTTAAGTCTAGATACCAGAGCCTCCAGCCTTTCTGAGAGTTCTCCACCCAAAGCAGCAAAGGTATGATACCTATTTGTCTTTTGAGTCTTGAGATACTATTTACTTCTACTAGTAAACAATGAATTGGAAGCTTTTGGTTTACTTGAACCAGAGTAAATTGAGGCATTTATAATTACGTCATTTATTATAACCTGCTTTGTCTTTCTTAAGGATGATAATACCAAATCCTTTGTCCTAGAAATCATGTTCTCTTGTAGGGATATTCATACCAGGGGTGGAAAGTTCACTAATATCTCAGTTTGAAATCTGGAAAACTCATGAACATTTCCATAAATCCAAAAGCTAAATTAATCTTAAACTTTGTTTTTTGAAAAATATCCAAGATCATAAATTGTGGATGAGAGCCTCAAAATGGGAAATACAAGCCATCTGTTAAAACTAAAATCACCATATCACATGGAGCACTTTGTCATCCTAAAGATGGTGGCTCCCCAGCCAGTGGACCATGACTTGACTGATTATTAGCATATAGAAAGAAAGAACGTGTCATTAGAATGAAATTTTCAGATCCATGTTCTGTGGAAAACAGTAGTCAGGAAACAAAACTCTCATTGTTGTTTTGTCAGAATTGACTGATTACTGACCCTCCAACAGTTTTTCAGAGGCTATAAAACACATAGGAGGAGATTGCCCATCTTCCTCCTGTGGAGCAGTTGATGAATTTGAACCTCCTGCTTTTTGGTTGGCAACATAACATTCTACTGACTAGTAGACCATAAGAGCTCTCATAACATTTAAGTTGTTGTATACAGTCAAGTCCAAACAGACCCAGAGCTGACTCAATGGAGGGTTTTCAGAGGCAGTTCATTTGAACAGGAAGAAATTGCCCATCCTTCTCCCGTGGAGCTGATGGATTCAAACCATGTGCCTTTGGGATTGCAGCACAAGCTTCTTACCAGTAGTACAGTAGACCTCAAGGGTGCAGTAGCAGATGTTAAAGAATGAACAGAATTCATCTTGGGCCCCTTAACTGACCCCTTTTAGTTGCATGCATTTCTAGCAGTGCTAGTATACATATTTGGATTAATAACCAAACATATGCGATATGTCTTACTATAATGTCTTTACCGTCTGATACTTTGGTAAGGAGCCTGCTTTTTTTGGATGATGTTATTGTCTGTTTGTTTCTTTTAAATATTTTTGGTTTTGAGAGAAACTCCTCAGGTAGATTTAGAGATAAGTGGGTGTGTGCAGCCCAACTTGGTGCGCATAACTACCATGTGTTTATCTCCCAGCTGTCTGCATGATCGGCCTATGTTTTAATGGACAAAAGGACATAGATGGAGGTTTGAAACAAAAGGAAGGGAAGATGCAGGCTTTAAGGAAGTGGTCAGAAGGGAGGGAAAGAAGGTAAATAGGAACATTTTCAAGGAAGCAGAGCTATGTGCAGAAAGTAAGGTTTATTGAAAAGGAACAGAAGGTAAGGAGAATTGCAAAAGAAAGCCAGTAAAAGGAGAACAAACTGGGTTATGGTGATTGATTCTGCGCATGTATTCACCACGATGACCCTCTGTCCTGGCTTTGAGGAGCTGCTTCTGCTGTCATCAGCGCTTTCTTTTTCTGAGTGTGGGATCCAACAAAGTAGCAAATGCCACGGGGTTCATTTCCTTTCCAAAAGCAAGCCTGCCCAGATGTGAGTCCTTGGGTTGTAATTCAGGATCAAGAACAACCAGTAAATCTGACTTGGCCACAGAGTCTATGTAACCAAGGGAACTGGGGAAATTCCATTATAGTTTAAGAACTAAAATCTTTCCTTTCGTGTATTTAAATTCACACCCGAATCTTAGTCCCTGTTGAGAGTACTTTCTAGACCTTTGAGATCCCTCCTAATTGAGACAAACCTGGATCTAAGCTAATGAAAGATGTACCAAGGAATATACCTCATTTAAGTCTTCTCTGGCCAATGAAGGAAGAAACAAAGGTGAAGCTCCCTCTGTAACGGAGCGAGTCCCCAAAAAGATCACTGAGCCAATTAGCCGAATTGTTGTTGTTGTTGTTGTTGTAATGTGCCATCGAGTCATTTGCGACTCATAGCAACCCTTTGTACAACAGCCCTAAACCCTGCTCTATCCTGTGCCAATCGCATGGCCTCTGACACACCCATCCCGATTACCCCAGTCACTGAATCAATCCACCTCATAGAGGGTCTTCCCCTCCTGCGCTGTCCCTCTACTCTACCCAGCATGATGTCCCTCTCTAAAGACCTGTCTCTCCTTACAACATGTCCAGAGTATGTCAGACGAAGCCCCAGAATCCTTGCCTCCAAGGAGCAGCCTGGTTTAACCCTCTCTAGGATGAATCTGTTTCTTGGCAGTCCATGGTACATTCAATACTCTTCTCCAGCACCACAGCTCAAAGGCGTCAATTCTCCTTCCACCCTCCCTAGTCATTGTCCAACTCTCTGATGCATAACAAGTGATTGCAAAAACCATGGCCTGTATCAGGCGCACCTTAGTCTCCAGAGAGACACCATTGCTCTTGAGTACTTTAGAGAGGTCCCTAACCGCAGACTTTCCCATCGCAATACGTTTTTTTATTTCCTGGCTGCTGGTGCCAAGAGTGTTGACTGTGGAGCCGAGCAAACTGAAGCTGTGAACAATCTCAATCTCTTCACCATCCATCCTGATGCTACCGATTGGTCCAGTGGTGAGAATTTTTGTCTTCTTGACATTGAGCCTCAGTCCATATTGAAGGCTGCAGTCCTTGACCCTCTGTAGTAAGTATATGAGGTCCTCCTCAGTTTCAGCGAGCAGGGTTGTGTCATCTGCATAACGCAGATTGTTGATAAGATTGTCCACCAATCCTAATGCCACACTTCTCCTCATAGAGCCCAGCCTCTCAGATAATCTGCTCTGCATACAGGTTGAAAAGGTATGGAGCCGAATTAACAAAGTTTATTTCGAGTTTGAACCCGGGCTCCCACGTGCTGACACAGCAGCATCCAGCCGAGAGCCCTGAATTGACATCTGCCCCTCCTTTTATACCTCTGCTACTCCCCTACCCAACCATGCATGCCATGAGTGGCCATCCACAGTAGTTTGGGTATTTGTCCACCTTCAATTGGCTAGCCATAGCTCAGGGAAACAGTTTGGAAACCTATTTGAATCTTATCGGTTACTTCAGATACAGGAATGCTGAAAAATCCCTTGTGCCCTTAAAAAGAAGAATTCCACGTTATGGCGGTTGATCAATCAGGGTGGGATTTACCACAGGTGAGGGTTGTTTGTTTGCTAAAAAACCACTCAAGCGGGTGGGGTGGGGTTAACTGTACTTTACCAGAAACTGAGTTTCTGATAACTGGTCCTTTCATTCCCCACTGGTTTTTCTTAATAAATCAAACCATTGATTTATCATTTTCAGTGAGATACTGATAATGGGTTTGAGCCATAAGGATTTAAGGTTTTACATTCCCTAAGACCTGAGACCTTCGGTCACTTTTATTTATTAACATTTTCCTTCCTTGAGTTGTTCATTGCCAAGCAGATTTTTCTAATCAAGATGGAGTTAGTCTTGCTGGTTTCACAGTACGGGGCTAAGCTTGCTTTGCAAGTAAGCCAGGCCTCTGATAGTTCCTCCTATGGGGTGCTGTCTGTCTTTGGGGGATAAGAGAACTCAAACTCAAGTTGCCCGTCATTGGGATAAATAGCAATTTATACTACTCCCTGTCTTAGGATCATGAGCAAGTCTCTTTCCTTACCTGTCATTGGCTCACATCCTGCATTTGCCTGGGGAGGGCCTTAGGTTGAATTTTATGTACTTTACCCAGCAATTCTTTATAACGCTTGGCTAGTATATGACCAACACAAGGGAGGATCCACAGTATACCTGTTATAACAATACAAAGAGCAACAATCATAAAAAGAAGATTTCTAAATGAAGTTACAGAAGGAAACCAGTTTTTCAGATTTTTAAAAATTAGACTAGCTTGTTCTGCTGGAGCAATATCTATATCTGGGGTATTCTGCATTTCTATAATTCTTTGGTGCAAATCATACAAATCAAGAGAATCATTATTAGATATCTAATCTCCTTTTAAATGAGATACTATTTTTCTCCAATCATTATCTGAGCTATTATATTTCAATTTAGTAACACAAATAGAGTCATATGCCACATGGCATCTTAACTTTTCTTTCATTCTAATTTGTTGCACCATGTTTCCTAATACATTTATCGTATCATATGAAGCTTTTAATTTCTTCATCTACATTTTCTTGCTCTACCCAATTTTTTTGTCACATTATGCATTAACCCATTTACAAACTTAGCAGTTTGAACTTCTTGAGCCAAAGCTACAGCAGAAGTAGAGTCAGTAGCAATCATAGAGATAAGAGAAACAATTCCTACAATAACAAGACCTATAGCTCTTTTTAGCTCTAGATGACAACTTATATAACTCTTTTAAAACTTGCAAGCTTTTATCATCACACCAAATATCATCTAACTTTACCGGTGTCATAACAAAAGGAGGATTCTTCAAAATAACAACTGAATCATCCTTGGTAATAGAGCTAATACAGTTAGAGATTTTACAATGAGAACAACTTACATTATATTTTGGATAATCACCAGTGATCACATTATTACCAATTAATAAGACATATGGTTCAGGTACATAAGACATAACTTTGGCATTTGTGACATTATCTCCCTTACATTTATCTTTTGGGATACAGGAAATATTTATCAAATCCATACTAGCAACTAATTTCCACAGTTCAGTTTGAAAGTTCTTTATATCAGTAGTCCACATTCCTCCCACAAATCCTTTCCTAGAAAGTCCGGGACCATATGTATGAAGAGGCGACCAGTCTCCAAGTGAGGTAGCATTCCAACCGTTGGTCCTTTAAAAGTTATATTACCAGTTAGATAAAAGAATGGCCATACCGCTGTTACGATAACATTTTCTCCAAGGTGGTTGCCAGATGCCAGCACGACCTTTCTCAAAACATGAGGGAAAGTTGGCATCTGCTGGAAAGATGGCGTTTATTCTACCTGCT